GAGAGAAGGAGGGACGGAGGAATGAAGCTTAACTCATCTTCGAGGAGCAGTTCCCCTGATGAGAGTTTTAAAATGATGACACATAAAGGTAAATATCATTCACTTTTCTTAGACATAGAATATGAATGAGCAAATGATAACAATACAGTCTAATATCGTACGAATCCAAGCATTTAGTTCTTGTTTTCTGAATTGCCGGTCGATTGTCTCCCTGCATTGCGATATTATCATTCTTTTAATTAAGATACGAAAAGGCATTCTGAGATACTTTGCAGGTATTGATTTAATTGTCGTGTTTACTAAGTTTATATATGAGAGTTTGGCCTATATTCAAGTGTTGCATATTGACACGTTAAATGCATTAACGACAACAGTTTATCACAATCATTTCGGTGTTAAAAATTGAGCCTTCATTCTTCATTCTTCATTCTTCATTCTTCATTCTTGAATAGAATAGAATAGAATAGAATAGAATAGAATAGAATAGAATAGAATAGAATTGGGATAATTTAATATATTTTTATTGCGAAAATAACATTAAAACACATACATACATACACACAAATTAAATTAAATTTGAATTCATGTTACAAAGGACCTTATAAAACCTTATTTTTTGTTTTATTTAATGATATAACTAATAATTTTTCATTATAAATTTCTATTCTCTTGTCTACATTCCTTGAATATTTAGATTGAATAATCATTTTCCCACGGTAAATAATTCTAATAAATCATAATATAATGACCCTAATCATTACTTACAATGAAAATAATCACCAATATTTTTTTTTCTTTACTTTAGGCTACCATCTATCATAGACCGATCAATCGCCTTTAAAATATATAACAGTTTTTTTCATGTATATTGGTCATGTTCTGCTATAGGCGAAAAAAAATCAAACTAATCAAATTGAGCCATAATAATATGATATACCAATTTAAATGTTGTTCTTAAAAGAAAAGCATAAAAATTGGCGAAGAATGTCCGTATCCGCAATACATTAAATTATTCAAAAGATGAAAACTTTCCGAAAATTAACACGCATAATAATTTTGTCTCTTGATATGAATCCATCAATGATATTATTTGTAAAATAGCCAAAATTCAAAACGAAGAAAATATATTAATATTCTTACGAACGAAGAATATTTTCTGGTTCCCGCGTATTTGTGGATCCGCATGCAAAAAAAAACTGTAGAAAGTTTCAAATTGTCACCTGTATAATAAAAAACATACCAAACATTACCATGTCGTGTTTTATCAACTCTAGTGGAAAAATTGAAAAGATGAGGTTTAAATAGTTAGGATATTAGTAAAAGCAATTTTCTGCTTGAAAGACCAGTTTTATCCTTTTTACGATGAATTACACACAGACGTGACGGGGTGGCTGACTAAAAACTTAGCACCTGTTGCGGCGACAACCAAAAAACGAAACGCAATAATGCTCGTATCAAATTTTCGAGTCAAGAATCATTTCAAAAGACATATGCTTTTATGAAAGGATGAATTGAAAGTTGGTTATGAAGTAGGGTCGAAACAAAAGGAAGAGCATGCTGATACCGAGAGCAGTATGCTGTAGATTAAAAAGAGGCGTGGTCAGTCAATTATTCACAGCATCGTTGCATCCCTATAATGTCGGATTGAGGCGAGATTCAGACAGACAGGCATCAAGATGATTATATCAATTGTATTCAAAATATTCGTTTTCAATCCTCGGATTTCCGTGTCTGCCAAATTGTTGAAATGTTAATCTCTTATTATCGTTTCGTCAAATACTAATGACAATTTTAATCGTTTCAATATTTTTACGAAACCTTGTTCACACCCTTTAAAATCTGTTTAAATTTCTTTTTATAATGTATTAGTGACAAATTTGATCGTTTTAAAAATTTTACTTAAAAGCTTTCACGTCCTTGAAATTTGTTTAAATTCCCTTTTCATTGTCTTGAAATCAACGAATTCTGTGTAGAGAATAAAGCCGGAGAAAAATTACACACAAGAAAAATTTGTTGATAAAATACGAATTTTAAAAACTTATATTTTAGAAAAACTACTAAAATAGAAATATTGTTAAGACAATTTCATTATCATTATCGGAATAATATTCAAACGTTTTCCATCCGAACGTTTATTTCAAAATTAAAAATAAAATGCGTACGTTCATGGATTTTGAATACAAAGTACTGGATAAACGAAATACATGTATTTATTTATGTAAAGTTTGTTATCTTCTCTTTTATCAAGTACTTTCATAGTGTAATGTGCATTATGTATGTAAATAATTCAACTATGATACTTCGAATTTAATCCATATTCTATATTACTTGCAAGTTATGGATGGGTAAATAAAATTGATTAAAAAAAATGAATTAATAAAATGAAATAAATAGAGTTTTACGTCCTACTGTTCTGCGCAGTAAATGTTATTAGACGAAAAATTAAAATAAAACTGAAGTAGAATTCGCCTATTTGATAAAACAGTGTACATGTAAATCGTTGAAGCTTTGTATATTGTATATAGTTCTGAAGGCATATGAAATAACAAACGCTATACACTGTCTTTTAGCTATACAATGTTTCATAATGCGGTAAAGATGAAAGGGAAAATTACCTGTACCATACTAAAATTGAATTGTACATGTCTGCGCTGGTGTCTCGCACAATCCCTTAGGTACAAAAATATGATGGATGGGGCTCTGACTTATATATCACTCTTACTTCTCAATTTGACACATCAACATTAATATTTCACACGAAACGCACGTGTAATATTAATAAAACCTAATTATTATTAATAATGCTTAGGATTTGTTAGTTTTTATTTCGACCACTGGCTGACCCCTTGTCTAGATTAAAACTAGATACATCTTATATAGAAAACCAGCAAAGCAAAACAATTTTTTCCGATATGGCCCGCTTTGCTGATTTTGTAACTTTAAAACAAATTATTATTTATTGTAGCGAAAGGAGAATCCGTCTATTTGTTACACAATGTTCGCTTTTACTTTTTCGATGTAATAGTATCGACGAATTTCATCCCAATGCAGGAAATTCAAAATCGTAACTCGACAATAAATTCGTGTATATAATTCCGGTCAAAGTTCAATCATTCATTGTAAAAATATTCCGCCGCCATATTTTCTAATGTCTTTTGGAATTCAATAAGCAGTATTATCTAAATCTGATATGACGTCATCAGATTTTGAACATTGACAGATTGACCAAAATTTGGCGCTAAATGTAACAAACAATATGGCGGATTAACTAAGAACAATCGACGTAAGAAAATCTAACGTATTGCTTCGAGGTGAATAAAATAGAATAGAAATGATATAATTTGATTGAGTCGCTGTCGGAGAGTCGGACATTTTGTTTTATTGTGTGATTATCTTGTCAAATAAAATTTATTGATTTGAAATTTCGAAATGTATACGAAACGAAGCATTTTTAGAATTGATATATTAAAATGAATAAAGAAGGCCTACTGTTAGGAACGCTAGTTATTTGCCAAAATGCTCAGAATATGAAACACGACCCAATGCATGATGATAACATTGTCAGTTAAGCGATCAAAGCGAGAAAGTGGGGTGCATGGGTGCTCATATTTTTTGACAGCAGTGCCAAACAACTTGCTAATTAAAAACATACTTCAGCACACCTTGACCTCACCTGCGACATAAAGTCACGTGACGAATATTCTAGACATTTTTTATTAATCCCAGACGAAAACAATTCAAAAGCTGTAAAAATTTATCCTGACACGAATGTGCTAAGTTTTTAATTAAGCCGATTTGACATCCTACAGAACCGTAATCTTATTGACCAATCACAAATTGTTTAACACTTCATATCAAAACTTATTGTCCAATCACTACGTACTTAACACTTGTCTGCAGATCGTTAATGGTTTGTACAAATTCTGTAATGGGATTAATTGATATATATCGAAACGAAGACAAAAAGATCAAGTAGCTATAATGGGTTATAATTGCTGTGTTTATTCTGAAGATTAGCAAATTGTATCAAGTGAAGAATAAAAACCAGCATGTTGCCTCGAGCAATGATAGCATAGCAGATTGTTTTGATCGCATTTCGTCACCTTATGAGCTCAACAGATCACCTAGTCAAACTGCGATTAACTGATAAAATATTTCTTACGCATAGGATCAATTCACTGCAAGTAATTGCCATGCATTTGTATTGTTTTTAAAGAGCAACACTTTTTACACCATATATAGCCAACGTCATTGTAAAAACATATTAAAATTTCTATTTTTCATGTGAAATTTACAAACAAAAATGAAATATTAAGAACATTTCCGCATATTGCGAAAACCTGCGGTCACCTTAAAAATGTTGTTATACCCAAAGTTACGACCAAATTACATATATTGATATACAAGTACATTGTCCTCATTACGGTTAGGTTTAATATACAATGCATCACTAATATTCAAGGATCAAGTGATATTTTATGTATGTATCTGAACTCAACCAATTTAGATTGGATGAGAAACGACCATTTGTTTTCGACTTGAATCCTGCTGCCATTTTTTATTTCAAACTTCTTGACACTATAATGACGTCATAAAACTACTGATTTTATTACTTTAGAACTATAAATCAATGGCTACTTGTTGATTACGTAATATCCCGTCATAACGTCACTTCCGATAGATCTATATGTTAAATTAATACTGCTACTGAAAGACTCGTTTGTTTGGTGCTCGTTTTGGTGATGAAACTACCATTCCCCAAAAGAATATGATTTGGTTCAGTACTTGCATTATTTGTGCTCCTATATGCATAGATTTGTCCCATTCTCCTACCCAAATATTGACAAAACTTCTTCCGAATACCTTTCGTATGAGCTTAATCATACTAAAACTCTTATTTGATTTGAAAGAAACTTTGGATTGAAAACGATATACCAATTTGCATATTTTTAATGTAGTTGATAATTTGTTTTTCAGATTCACCGTTAGATGATAAAGAAATAAGAAGATATCGTACAGCCTTTTCTAGAGAACAACTCAGTCGACTGGAGAAGGAATTCCTTAAAGAGAATTATGTTTCCCGACCAAAACGATGTGAACTTGCAGCATCATTGAATCTCTCTGAGAGTACCATTAAGGTAGGTCAAAGTTGTAATTGTTTGCTGTTTGTTTACTATGTAGACATTTATCAGGGGCTATTCGTTTCCATCGTTAGCGGCCAGTAAATGTTCAAATGTCAAAATAGCACAGTTTCGAACACACCACGAGTTTGACAGAGTGACATCGGTATATGAAATACCGGCAATAAGCTACCCATTTGCATTTTATCGTTTAACAGTTATGGCGATAGTGACAAAATTTACATATTAAAGTATGGTAACTGCACCCGATAATACGGGCAAGAAAACCAGATACACTGTGAAAAAAATGAATTTTCTTGATATTCATGAAACTATCTTTATGATTTCAGGTGTGGTTTCAGAATCGTCGAATGAAAGATAAAAGACAACGAATGGCCATGGCTTGGCCCTATGGTATTGCTGATCCCCATCTTTACGCTTATTTGGCTGCTGCCGCCGCCTCATATCCCTACGCCATGACAAATCCAACTCCGTATAATTATTATCCAGGCGTAGGGATACAGAGAACTCCAAATGGACTATCACCAATGGCGGGATTGCAAAGCGGAATAAGGCCCACACTAGAAACAATGAACAATTTGACCAATTCTTACATTCGTCCGCCATCTTTACCGATTGCACACCCAATTCATCCACAATCAACTCTTGGTGGACACCAAAGATCATCGCTAGAGGCATCATCTTTACTGCATCATACGTCATCACCACCAACTACGCCAAGTGACAGATGTTCTCCTACGTCATATCCTACAGTCCCTACCTCAATTCCAACACCTGTACCTAAAAATTCTAGTTCTACTGCCCCAAACGGACTATTCAGACCATTCCAGTCGGAAGTAGAACGGACATAACATAATATTATCCAATCAATGAAGTTTGACGTGAACAGCTACACGACAGTTTATTTAGTGACGTATGTCGTATTGTTTATTGTGAACACACCTAATGACTGTGACGTTTGAATTTTTTGCCATCTATTGGAATTCCAAGGAACGTGTGTGATTTTGTTTATTTATGTCCAAGGTATATTTTAACTATTTCATTGCTTTATGGATTTGTGATAGACCTTCTCCTAATTCTCGTGAACATCTATTGGCATTGTTTTCTTTCATTCCTTTTATTCTTTCCTTAATCTGTCTTTCTATTTCCATTTTATCGTGTTGGTATTGTTGTCACCGAAGACGTCATAATGTATGTAAATATTTGCTCTGGCATTAAATGTTAGAATTATGAATTCGAGTCTTATATTTCAATGAGTTCTGGCTACTAAATTTTAGCGGAGGGGTTAACACGTAATGGAAAGTACAATGTTCTATCCGCGTCGTTCCGCAGCAGAAAATTTGGGATCCTCGACATTGCCCGTTCCTAGCCTTTTTAGACTCTTTGGAACCATTGACAAAGTTTGGGCTTCTGGCACCTCATTGCCTACAATAAGCAAAGAGTCAATACTTTCACCAAATTCAATGAATTATTTGCAGAATTGATAGTGCTGTGTCGTGCCACATGAAGTCTCTGTTATCGCTGATCCTTAGGCTGAACAGCGGAGCACTTGATTGGCAAAACAAAAATTTCCAAGAGAAAATTCTTACGCAATCAATAATGTTTAACGAAATTCAGAACAAGACTCAGGTGAATTACCGATTCAAGGGATATAATCGTCAAAATATAAGCTGATAAAACTATTCATAGAATGAAGAACGAACAGGCAATTCGTTCTGCTGCAATAAAAAAGAAACTTCCGGCGTATATTATAGCGCAACATTCCCCATGTAGGCAATATATAATGTTTCCATGGCCGTTTTTACAGGCGGTAAAAAAATTAAATTCTCCCCTCTGTTTGACATACGGTAATATACAAAATTATCATCATACATTTCCGTTATAAACTTTCTCCGTTCACAGTAATCTAAGTATTGCACCAGTTAACAGTTTACTTTCTCACAGTCACGATTGAATAATTAAAAAAACCCAACAGATTTCAATATTGCATTAGTTTTCACATTTCGACCTAATTAGTACCTTCTCGATGAAGCAATAAAAGGGTCAAGGCTCAAAACTGATTTTCAGTTTGCGTTTCCACATTTTCACCTCATTAGTACCCGAATTTGATCTCGATGAAGCAATAAAAGGGTCAAGGCTCAAAACTGATTTTCAGTTTGCGTTTCCACATTTTCACCTCATTAGTACCCGAATTTGATCTCGATGAAGCAATAAAAGGGTCAAGGCTCAAAACTGATTTTCAGTTTGCGTTTCCACACTTTCGCCTAATTAGTACCCGAATTTGATCTCGATGAAGCAATAAAAGGGTCAAGGCTCAAAACTGATTTTCAGTTTGCGTTTCCACACTTTCGCCTAATTAGTACCCGAATTTGATCTCGATGAAGCAATAAAAGGGTCAAGGCTCAAAACTGATTTTCAGTTTGCGTTTCCACATTTTCCCGATGAAGCAATAATAGGGTCAAGGCGAAAATTTGTAATAAAATTACACATAAATTGTACATAAAAATTATAAGGATTTCTTACATAACAAGCGTACACATTAAACAAGAGTTATTTCCTCTTGATTAGCTCTTCGTGGCTCTTTTTCTTGCTTCATCAGCTCTCGTGTTTCACTTCCATTCATAACATGATCTTAATACATTTTTAATAGACTATATTCTACCCCCACTATGTTATCAAATATTGTGATATACCTTGGCTAAGGAGCCCGGCGGTCAATATCAAAGTGATATCAGTCTCTTAGCAATTACTGGTGACGTAATGGCTGTTAAGGCCGGGAAGATGGCGGAAGGGGGTCGAGTAGATGAGCCTATTAACAATCTGTTGAGACTATTTAGAATCAATTACACTCACCACGGGGACAGATATCTCTTTCACATTTCGTTTTATATAATTTAGGGGCTAATTGACGGGGTGCAAGGGTTAATAGAACGTAGCCTAATTAAATTCGTTTTATGCACGGTCCTCACAAGGGTTAACAAGAGTAATTGGTTCTCATTAACCCATTGAATACCATGTATGATGTTTTTATTGGAGGCTGATTAATTCCATGTTAAGGCTCATCATGGGAACATCAAAATGTCCAACCTGTCAGAATAAAACAACAGAAACGAAATAATTATTTTACAATTCGTTTACTGTTTCAATGATTGTTGTAACTTTTAGTCAACCGAGTCAGCGATCAAACGAAGAACGCCATGAAGAGGTACGATCAGGTTGTAAATTTATTCCAAATTGATGCTATTATGAGACAGAAAAACTACCACGTGTTTGGTAATGCGTCTTAAATTCTTCTGAGCCCTTAAAAGTTCAAACTGAAACAGAAAATACCAAAGTGATAGCAACAAAGTGTCATTTTCCGTGTGTTTGGTAATACATGTTGGGTGTTATCCTTGTTAACTTGAGTCATATGTTAGCCAACACTTCAGTCGACGAATTTGACAGTTTAAGTATTCAAACGAAGGAATAAAATTATCGTGTATAATATTATTACGTCACGTCTCCATGTTCTACTAATCTTATATAGCATGTGTATATACAGATCAAAGAAAGCCGCCATCACATATCATAACTTTATAACATAATATAAATAATAACTGTCGTCGGTTGGATTATATGGAAGACGGGTTTATATGAAATTAATGTCCATGTAAGGGTATGTGCCTGTCTCGGGTTTTATTAGGCAACAAGAGGGTTAATTAGTTACAAATTACAGTTGCATACCTTCTGTAATAAGTATGAAGTTGTTACAAGCATCAGGGATGAGTACAAACACCAATTCTCTTTCAGTTGAGAGCAAAATAAAAAAAAAAAAACGGATTCTTTCTCGTACGCTATTCTTAGATAAAAGCGGTAAGAACTCTCTGCTATTACATATGAAGTTTAGGGGCGAGTACAAACACCAATCCTCTTTCTGTTGAGAGCAAAAAAGTGAGAAAAAAACCCCAACTATGGATAATGGATTTCTTTCTCGCATGCTATTCTTAGATAAAAGCGGTATGAACCTTCTGCTGCTGTACATACGAAGTTCAGGGACGAGTACAAACGCCAATCCTCTTTATGTTGACAACAAAATGGTAAATAAAGACTTGACAAGGGATTCCTTTCTCGCACGCTATTCTTGGATGAAAGCTGTAAAAGTAGAATGTTGAATTGATAAACTCAACCACACAATTGCAAAACAATTTCCAGATAGGTGAGCATGTCATTTATGGAGTCTCCCCACAATACCAACATCACTCAGGAGCTTTACTTTATTGGGTGTAATGGTAGAGGGTCTACTGAGTTCTGACCAGAGATTTCTAGGTACTCTTATGTTCGAGCTTAATGCCGAACCTTACCTTGGCTTCATTCGTCGGGATAATATAAAGATGATGAATTACATGTCACGAAGAAGAATTGTTTTTTTTTGTCATTTACCTTAATGCACTTATTATGTTCTTTTAGACATCATATCATGATTTCTAGAGGTTGTAACATGGTTTCTAGATATCGTAACATGGTGTCTAGATATAGTAACATCGGTTTCTATATACCGTATTATGCTTTCTAGATAGTGTTACCTTTTTCTAGATATCGTAACCCGCTTTCTAGACACCATAACATGGTTTTTAGATAATGTTACTTAATTAATAGATTATGCAATATGGTTTTTAGATAATGTAACATGTTTTTTTTTAGATATTGTAACATGTTTTCTAGATATCGTAACATGTTTTCTAGACACCATAACTTGCTTTCTAGATAATGTGAACTAGTTTATAGATGATGCAATATGTTTTCTAGATAATGTAACATAGTTTATAGATAATGTAACATAGTTTATAGATAATGTAACATAGTTTATAGATATTGTAACATAGTTTATAGATAATGTAACATAGTTTATAGATAATGTAACATAGTGTATAGATAATGTAACATAGTTTTTAGATATTGTAACATAGTTTATAGATAATGTAACATGGTTTTTAGATATGTAACATGCTT